AGATGACACAAGTCAAGTCATAAATAGTTGGAGAAAACATGAAAGTACTTTTCAGGTATTCTTGGAACTGCAGGTGGAGGAAATGGAATTCCTTGCAGTCAAATGGGGGGAGGGAGAGGTGAGGGCCCAGGAGATGACTCAGAGGTAAAGGCATCTGCCACCAAGGCTGATGACCTGAGTTCTATCCCTTGACCCTGCATGGTGAAGGGTCAAGAATCACCGTTTCCCATCATTCCCTTGCACCCACATGAGCACTGTCGTGTTCACACACAAGGAAGTCGTCATTTTAAAACAGTTAAGGAGGGTCGGAGGTAAGACAATCCTTCACGTCTAGATTACTGAGTGTTTAGAGACGGTGGGCTCTATGGAGGTGATAGGTCTATCATTCCCAAGATATAGAGAGATTAACTGAATACACTCACCTTTGACCTTGCAAGGATTTCTAAAGAGAACTCAGAATTCTTGAGTTTTCCTGGACTTTGAGTCAAGGTAATCATCCTGAAGCTGGGCTCAAGTGACCTATCTCTGAGGCTGGAAGCAGCCTGTACTATACGACCAGATCCTAACTACGAATTGCTTTGCCTGTATCAGTTAATGAGTGGACTTTGGACTTGAAAGACAGTTAAAACTCCAGGCAGCTAAGGAGAATACACATTACCTCCTTGGATTATCAAGCGAGAGCAGCCAACATGAAAGGCTTCCTGCTTCTCTCTCTCGGTCTCCTTTTGGTGATCTTGGGTAAGAAACTTCTTTTTGTTGTTTAGTGGTTGCTTCTGTGACTTGATAACTGAGTTGGCATCGTGGTCTTTGAAACAGGAACAGCAGGCTTGATCCTACAGCTTCTTAAAGCTACTGCTAGTCTTCACTTGGGACCGTTTCTTGTCTAGCTCAGCTCGGGGTCGCTGACATTTTCATCTGTGACCTCAAAGACAGCAATACATTGGGACACAGCAGGGCAGAGGTCTGTCTGAAGGTGGATAAAGATGACTCAGTATTTCGAGGAAGAGGTACCCTACTGTAGCAAGCTGGATCTGTTCCTGTGATCATCACAGAGCCAGGCCTGGAGGGGTGGGAGGTGGTGGATACATCTGTTTTCACCAACACTTGAAACTGGAGGTCGCTGGCCAAAAAGAGCAATCCCAGTGTGGATTAGACTTCATACAGGTGTTTTTCTGGACCGGGGAGAGTTTATTTGGGTTTGAGTAGGTAAGGAATTTGCCCCCCATGTCTGAGAGAAATCTGGATCTAGAAGCCAGATGCTAAAGAGGAATAAGGCATTTGAGGCAGAGGAAAGGGGAAAAGAATTTGAGTTCAGTGTAAAGGACCATTTGTTTTGTTTTGGGGACAGAATCTTATGCTACCAAGGCTAAACTGAAGTCTATGAACAGTAGATGAACTTCTGATCCAGCTGCCTTGGAACACTGGGTTATGGTATGAGCTAACATACATGGCAAGATAGGAGCTTTAGAAAACTGTTTTGTTTTGTTTTGTTTTTTTCGAGACAGGGTTTCTTTGTGTAGTTCTGGCTGTCCTGGAACTCACTTTTTGTAGACCAGGCTGGCCTCGAACTCAGAAATCCACCTGCCTCTGCCTCCCAAGTGCTGGGATTAAAGGCATTGAAAACTCTTACTACATTTAATTAACATACATGTGGCAGTCAGAGGACAACTCACAGGAAGTGGCTTCTCTCCCCCCACTCCCTGAGTGAGACGGAAAACAGACGGTCAGCCTGGGCAGCAAGCTTCTTTCTTCTCCTATTGAACTATTTCTGTGGCCCAAGATTTTATTTTACTTCTTTGATTTGGTTTTAAGATTGGGGGAGAGGAGTTGTCCCAACAAGAGGAGAGGACTCACCAGATCTCCCCTGCCCAGTCTGGGTCAGGTGCTGTGGCCAAGCCTTCAGGTCCCCAAAAGAACTGATAAGATCTGTGTGACTTTTCAGGAGTCACCGTGAAGAAGAAATGCCTTCTGTAAGACATAAGGGTACTGAGAAGGGAATGCTTTGCTAGGAAGGCTCGGGGAAGTGGCTAGAGGTGAGAGGACCCATAGTCATGGATCTCAAGGTACTTTAGAGATGTAGAAAGGAGTCTTGGGCCAGAGAATTCCCCCAGCAGGGTACAGGGGCAGGCTCCCCACTTCAGAGTGAGGCGGGCAGGGACCCAAATACGGTGCAGTCAATTATGAGCTGTGGCTTCTCCCTACATGATAACAGAGGAGATAGCCCATGACAGGAAACCAGCAGATAGTCACCTTGGGCACTTAGTGTCCTATCTGCCGTTGGATCCAATATTTAAACATTTGTGTTTGCTCTTGTGTGCCTATGTTATTTTAGTAATGTAGACTGGGTGTAAGATGTTCAGGCCACCCAGAAATGCGTGAGAAGGAAGGGAACACCTGCCCCGCCGCACCACCTGCCCCGCCCCAGCAGCCTACTCTCACGTAGACTACATCGGACAGGCTTGTTTTCGAAGAAAAAAAATTTTTTTCATCCCTACGGAATCTTTAGAATTTGTCTGGTGAGTGGGTGCAGCCACCATGTCAAGCATGAGTTCCATGTCAGTCTCAGTAGCTGAGGACAGGAAGTGGATCTTGTACACTTTCCGCCTGTCCCACCTAGAAATGTCATAAGTACTTTCTGGACAATGAGGACATGCTCAGATGATATCCTAAGCCCCCTCATCAGGAACCATTTGCCAGCGTTTTGCTTCCCCTGAGCACTAGGGCTCCTCTCTCCCATGGCATCTAGTGGGACCCAACATCTCATACTTAATACTTCCATCTGTCAGAAGCATTTTATTGTGGCTTTCAGCTAGCACTAGGTACCATATGCTGGGGACAGATGGTGGTCCTGGAGTGTTCTCCAGAAAAGAGCCCATAGAGACAACATTTCTTTTTTTTCTCATTTAAGTCAATAGGTGGCACCCTATAGGTGCTCTGTAGCTGTAGGGCTATTATTGTTGTGTTGGTTAGAAAGCAGCTCTCAGATCTGAGGGAGCAGAAAGATGGAAGCTGGGGCTGGAGAGATGCCTCAGTGACTAAGAGTGTTTACAGCTCTTGTAGAGGACCTGGGCTTACCTCCCAACTGCAACTCCAGTTGTATTGGATCGAATACCCTCTTCTGACCTCCATAGGCTCATGCATGCCTCTCCACAGGCCTCTGGCAAAGTTGTAGTTAAAACAGTGACATGGTCTCAACCAATATCCACGGGCTCTTCACATGTGGACGGACATTCGTGTCTGCCTCACAGGGTCACATCAGGCATAGGGTAAAGCCTCGATAAATGAGAAAGTCCCAGGAGAACAGTGGTGGGCCACATGTGACTGTAGCCAGCTAGTGACTATTTTCCTGGCGATGGAAGAACAACTGCTTATCTCTTTGTCTCTTCTGAGCTACTAGCAGCCAAGCCCTGTCCAAGGAGAAGAACCAAGCCTTGCCTGGAGCATTATGGGGGAATGGGAGTGAATGTTAGCATTCTGTATCACAGGGCTTGTGAGTGACTTCCTCTCTACAAAGGTTTTCATTTAATACTTTGTATAATCTGTTGTCAATATCAGTTCTTAGAGACAAGAGGAGTTCTAGGGAATGGGTCACTAAGTGGTTGACTAAAGGGCAGTCTTCCAAGCTTCCTGGGGAGTTCTAGGAGTGGTAAACGCAGCTTTGATGGCTATCGTAGTCTTTAGGACAAGGACCATTTGGGCAGTGGTGGCGCACGCCTTTAATCCCAGCACTTGGGAGGCAGAGGCAGGCGGATTTCTGAGTTCGAGGCCAGCCTGGTCTACAGAGTGAGTTCCGGGACAGCCAGAGCTATACAGAGAAGAAAAAAAAAAGGGAGGGGGGACTATTTTTTTATCTTATCCTCTCAAAGTAGATTGGTCTAGAGAAATGCACTAGAAAACAACAAACAAAAACACTGGTCCAGCACTCAAAAAGATTGTGAATTTCAGGCCAGCTAGACTGAAATAGCAAGATCTGTCTCAAAAAAACAAAACCAAAACATGGAAGAACTATAATCAGCACTCAGTGAAGTGTTTCTATATAATTATTTTTTTTTTAAGACCACCTTCTAAGGTCTCCTTCAACAGAGAAAACTGCCCCAATATGGACAATCGGGCCTGTTTCCTTAAAATGTAGAAAGTGCCAAAAAAGTCACTTCCTGGTGGTAACAGCGCCACCTTGTGGCACTTTCAATTGTCTTCCTCTGAATTTCCTGGGAATTTATTAAACTCAGTTTCCCAGATATAGATGTAAATTTTGCGATTTCTTAGTACTAATCTATTTTTTTGTAAATTGAGATAGAGTCTCCAGTATCTCAGGCTAGCTTTGAACTTGATAGGTAGCAAAGGATGTCTTTGACGTCTTGAGCCTCTTGCCTCTGTCTCCAAAGTTCAGGTACTTATCTCAACATTTTTTTTTTTTTTGTTTTCGTTTTCATTTTTGCGACATGGCCTCACGTAGCCCAGGCTTGCCTCCACAGGCATATAGCACCACTCCTGACTTGATACTCTTTATAAATGTTATCACCTCAGCTCTCCGCTCAGCTCTCCACAGGCATTATTAAGCTACATTAAGTGTCATAGTTTTCAATAACATTTTCCATTTTTGTCTGTTTATTTTTTTATTTTGTTATGCTTAGAAGGAGTCATGTGTTTCTACTTTTAACATAATCATATAAATTACTTTTCCCAGAAAAATCCCAAGTTGAGTTGTGATTAGAATCGACAGTACTTGCTATTATTTATCTAACACACTGTCCTCTGACATTTGGCTTCCTTGTTCCCTTAAACAAAACCACCACAGCCTCTGCCTCAGGTATTGCCAATGATCCACCTAAGAATTTAGCCAATGAGACAGTTCAATTCTGTCCTCTGTGACAGCTAAGTCTGACAAAAAGTCTGGGACAATTCAGACAAATGGTAATTCACCTCAGCCACCTGGGACAAATCAGTCTCCTAGTGGTACTAGCTCTTCCACAGGGACTAGCAGCACTAACTCTCCCATTATGGGACCAACTCTGTCCACAGGATCAGCTACCACCAACACGGGATCAACCAACTCCACCACGGGATCAACTAACTCCACCACGGGATCAACCAACTCCACCACGGGGTCAACCAACTCCACCACGGGATCAACTAACTCCACCACGGGATCAACCAACTCCACCACGGGATCAACCAACTCCACCACGGGATCAACTAACTCCACCACGGGATCAACTAACTCCACCACGGGATCAACTAATGCCACCACGGGATCACCGACCCCCACCGTGGGATCAACTAACTCCACCACGGGATCAACTACGCCCACCGGAAATTCATCTCAGACCTCTGGGACAGCTCAGCCTGCCAGCTCTTCCACGGTGACTAGCAGTAGTGGCACAGGTAAGAGTGGTCCCTGAAAGTCTCCTCAGTGGGGTGCACAGCAAAGAGGTCTGTGATGTGTCAGTTGGTCTGTTGAGGAAGCGGGTTGGCTGGGGGAAAAAGTTCAGTCATTGCCGGAGGAACCCCGACGTGAGCACTCAGCTATATTCTTTCCCTTCCTGCCCCTTAAGCTACTTGCCTACTGTGGACGGTGTTCTTATAAGTTTGGTCTTTTGTGAGAGCTACCCGTAGGAGAGCCGGAAGTAGCTTCGGGTTCTCTGAAACACACAGGTTAGACTAAGCGCTGGCTTCTCAGCCACACTGGTCCTTAAGGAAGAAATCAGCTCTGCCCTGGAATCAGTCAGGATGGTGGTTGATCACAATTCCCAAACTAAGTCAAGCCTTTGAAATTCAATTCAAATCTAATTGAAAGAAGCCAAACAATGACTGTCTGCAAACAGTTGTGTCAGCACAGCTTACACAGAACAAAGGGGTATGCAGTTAAAACTAGCGTCCTTTTCCCCTGAACCCCATGGTCCTTGGAGAACCCTAGAAGCGACCTCTACTGCCAGTTCCTTGTGTCCCCCTCCAGAGACAACCTAAGCAAACTTATCAAGTACATCTGCTTTCTCATCACAGAGGAGCGTGTTACACATACTGTGTCTTAAAGTGAGCTTGTTGAACCAGGTGAAGTGGCACACGCCTTAACTCCCAGCACTCAGGAGACAGAGGCCAGCCTGGTCTACAGAGCAAGTTCCAGGACAGCCAGGGCTACACAGAGAAACTCTGTCTAGAAAACCCAAACCAAACAACAAATAAACAACCTTTTTGAGCTTGGGAGGCAGAGGCAGGTGGATTTCTGAGTTCAAGGCCAGCCTGGTCTACAGAGTGAGTTCCAGATAGCGAGGGCTATACAGAGAAACCCTGTCTCGAAAAACCAAAAAAAAAAAAAAACCGAACTCCAGATTTTGTGGAGATGAGGAAAATGGTGAACCAGTAGCTGAGGCTCAGCGGTAGAGCACTTGCCGAGCACTCGTGAGGGCCTGGGATCACTCCCCAGTCCTGAAAAAAGGAAAGAAGGCAGGTAGGCCAACCAAGATCACATTTGCTCATGTATAGAATGTTTTTCCTCCAATCTCACCAATTTCCTGGCAATGGGGACTGAGCCATGTGTGTCCAACCCAGGAGTCTAGGTCAGGGTGCAAGATCCATTGTAATATTTCCTTGTTCTGAATCCTCCCTTGCAGAGTCAAGGGTGCAGTATGTCCTTGCTGCTGCCCCTAGAAAGCTGCTACTGGGTTGCTCAGGCCTTTCTACCCTGAATGTAGCTGATTTCACAAGAAGCTAAGCGGGATGGACTCGGTCCATACTTGGACGGGAGGAAGTTCACTGGGTCAATCTGCATTCTTCTTAATTGTTCCCTTTCTTCCTTGGTTCTTTATTTCTTTTGAGACAGAGTCTTCTTCCATAGCCCTGGCTGGCCTGAAACTTACTCTATAGACTAAGCTGGTCTCCTAGAGATCCAACAGCATCCGCCTCCTGGAGGCTGGGATGAAAGGCAGGTGCTACCATGCCTGGCTTTCTCTCCCTTTCTCGGTGGATGTGTGACAGCTCTGCTCCTCAGAATATGACATCTAGTTCCCCTTTGGAACTCCTTGCTGTCCTGCCCTGTATGGTGATTGCCACACTATTCTGTAAAAAGCTGCTTTATTTAAAAAGGGTTTAGGGAGCCTTACTTAGTGTTCGGGAGCAGGCACTGATGCCCTCGACATCTGAAGAGCCTCCACTCCTTACAAGTAGAAAGCTTCTCTTCTTTCACAAGCAGGGATCTAAGAAAGCAGATTGGTGGCAACCGCTAACCTTCACTGTCAACATGTACTCAGCCCCCAAACCATAGCGTTGCTCTTCCCCAGAGACGGAAGCAAACACTCTGTTTCCAGGTCTTCTAAAGATGTACTAATGACGTCATACAATAAGGGAACAGAGGCCAGGTGTGGTGGTGCACACCTTTGATCCCAACACTTGGGAGGCAGAGGCAGGCAGACCTCTGTGAGTTCAAGGCTAGCCTGGTCTGCATAGGAAGTTGCAGGACAGCCAGGGTGAGACTGTGTCTCAAAAGAAAAGCAAGCATGTCCAGAAGGAGGGCGTGAAGAGTGAAAGAGATTCCCCAGGAGTTATTTGCTGAGTTCTGTGGAGTTGTAATAGCTTTCTCCTCCATCTAAGGTTCCGGTGATCCTTGCAACCCTAACCCCTGTAAAGGAGCTGCTGCCTGTGTTAAGCTGCATAGTGAGAGCTTCTGCTTGTGTTCAGAAGGAAATTACTACAACACATCTTTGTCATCATGTATGCAAGGTAAGTTACAAAGGATAACCAAGGCCAGATCCCCTGAAAACTGACTACAAAATAAGAACTTGTCTACTGTGTACAACTGCAACCATGGGGCGCTCAGGCAGAAGGTAGCAGGCTGTGAGCTTGTCCTGAGCTGTCAGAACTCCAGAAATGGACTTCGAAAGTGCCTTGGTGCGAGCTGGGCTAGGTCACCCCGTGCTACAAAACCCAAAGCCTGCTTGCTTGCCTTCTAAATCAGTGGTTCTCCTCCTGGAAGCTGAGACACAGGGGTCACCTAAGACCACCAGAAAATATGGATATTTACATTATAATTTATAATCGATGCAAAATTACAGTTATGAAGTAGCAACAAAAAAAAAAATTATGGTTGGGATCACCACAACCTGAGGAACTGTATTAAAGGGTCACAGCGTTACAAAGGTTGAGAACCAATGTTTTTATTAGTAGTAGTAGTATTTATTTTATGTATGTGAATACACTGTAGCTATCTTCAGACACACCAGAAGAGAACATCAGATCCCATTACAGATGGTTGTGAGCCACCATGTGGTTGCTGGGAATTGAACTCAGGACCTCTGGAAGATCAGTCAGTGCTCTTAACTGCTGAGCCATCTCTCCAGCACAAGAAACAATGGTTTAAATGATTTTTTTTTGTTCTGCTTTATAAGTAGAAAATTACTTTTCTTGCTACAGCAGGTCAGTAGTATAGAAAGCAGATGGGCTATGTTGTCCACAATAGTTAGAGATATGTCCCCCAAAGTTTGCATTTTTAGCACTAATAATCTGATTTCTGGGCATCTGCCCTATGTAAATGATGCCCCCAAAGTCCTTCCATTTTAAATAGTATGCACTAAGTTCAAGAATAAAAAAATAAGCCAGAAACAGTAGCACATTCCTTTAATTACAGCACTTGGGAGACAGACCAGGTGGTTCTCTGTGAATTTGGAGCTAGCCTGGTATACAAATGGAGTTCCAGATTAGCCTGTGGACAGGACTACACGTGTTTGGGGGTGGGGGGAGGATGCAAAGGAAAAGAAAGAGAGAAAAAAGAAGAAAAGTAACACACTTTAGACACAAATTTGCAATGGCCCTATTAACATTAAATAGTTCAGAAAGAGTTTGCCTGATTTTCAGGAAAGACATTCCCTGGAGAGATATCCATGACTGCAAATAAAACAGATGACTTGGAAAATAAAAACTCTGTAGGCTATCAAGATTTGCACAACAATGTTGTCAAGTTTGTAAGTATTTTCCCACTTTCTTGTCTATGAAGTATCTTCCTTCTCAGCTGGACCAGCAAAGCATGGGACTGGTCTTCATGTGGCCACATGACACAGTTGTGCCTTTTGTTGGAAAAGTGAAATGTACCCCTCTTGGTGGGCAGGTAGCTCCCCAGGGAATCTTGGGTTTCCATATGGTTGTGCCCCTGAGACAGAGTGCCCAACATAGCCATGCCGTGCCTCCAGAAAGTAGGTAGCCTTGGGACACTGCTCCAGACCTGCCAGTTACAGAAGCTATCAGTGTGGTTTTAAACAAAGAGCTCTAACAGTGTCCTTTGAAATAAATTATTTTGCCAGGTGTGGTAATGCACATCTTTAATCCCAGCAGAAGGTGGAGACAGGTGGATTTCTAAGTTTGAAGTCTACAGAATGAGTTCCTGGACAGCCAAGGTTACACAGAGAAACCCTGTCTCAAAACCACCCCAGAGAGAGAGAGAGAGAGAGAGAGAGAGAGAGAGAGAGAGAGAGAGAGAGAGAGAGAGAGAGAGAGAGCTAGGAAACTCTCTATATCGTTCAGCCAGCCAGAGCTTAGTCAGAGGCATCCGGGAGGTGGTGGTCAAGCATTCTTACAGTTTCAAAGAGTGTTTTTGTTTATTTGGTTTTTTCTCTTTTTTTTCTTTTCTCTCTCTCTCTCTCTCTCTCTCTTTCTCTCTCTCTCTCTCTCTCTTTTTGTTGTTGTTGTTGTTTTTCGAGACATTCAGGAGTTGGCTTTCCTTCCACCTTGCTGGTACATGGTCTCTTGTTTCTGCCACACTTTGTATATTCCAAGTTAGCTGGCCTTCCAACTTCCAACTTTCTCTGCATCCCATCTTGACATAGGAAGGGAGGGAGGGGGAGAGAGGGAAGAAGGAAGAAGTGAGGGAGTGAGGAGGAAGGAAAGGGGAAGAAATGGAGGAAGGGAGAGAAAAAGAAAGAAGAAATGTTTAAACCTGGAATAAAATTTAAATTTCTTCCCCTTGTTATTACGTCTGTTTTCCTCCACAGTTTCAAAACGTATTTAATGAGCCTGACTATGGACAGACTGTAATTCTTAAAGTGAGGTAAGTTGGCTGTGGACCAGTGGGGTGCTTTGGAGGCAGCCTGTCTTTGCTTCACTTCTGCTCGAGCTCCCCATGCCATCAGCCATCTTGTGTTAAGTGATAAGTCAAGAAGAAATAGCCATGGGGCTGGGGAAGTGGCTCAGCTGGTAAAAGGTTTGCCCCACAAGCTCAAGGAACTGAGTTTGGATCCCCAGTACCTACATAAAACGCCTCACTCAGTGGCCCAGTGCTTGGGGAATGGAGACAGTGGGCTTTCTGGAGCTCACTGGCCAGCCACACTAGTCAAATTGGTGAGCTCCAGATTCAGAGAGAGACTTAGTCTCCTAAGGTAGACTATCCCTACCTCTTCACTGGTGGGCCTCCACTATGTAAGGCCATGGTGTTCCAGAATGGGGTTTGCTAACGTCATCAAGGATAAAGGCTACCCTAGGGGACAACAGGAGAATTTAGGAGACAATGAGAGGGCAAAACTGGCTACTGTGATCAAAAATGCTTAGTGATCCAGGACAAAAACAAATACAACACACTTAAATATAGGGAGACAGCTCTTGTAGCTGACAGGAACATCATCTTTCAGATTGCTTCTGCTGGCTGAAAGGGAGATAACAGCCTGTGCTCATGAACTACTGAGGTACTGTGTGAAAGCCACAGGCTACAGCACTTGCCTGCTGCTAGCTGACAGGTGTCTTAGCAGGTTTGGCATGGCCAAGGAATACAAAGGCAAGTGGAGGTACATGGAGAAGAACACATCATGGAAAACCCTGGTGGTCAGCCAAGGCCTTCACTCACCCGCCATTGGATGCCACTTGCCAGAATGGCAATCGGTAATAAAGAAAGGAGCTATGGCTAGAGGCTTATCTGCCCATCGATCACAGTTCCAGGGGACTCCTGGTCATGATCCAGTGAAGCACATAGGGAGCACATCACAGGACAGAATGTTTCAGATTGTATAAGGGAAGAAGATAAAGATGCTTATAAAAACAGTTCTTCAGTGGGTGAAGGCACTTGTGACCAAATTCAGTAACCTGGGTTTGATCTCCAGAGTTCTAGAAAGTTGTCCTCTGAACTTCATATGTGTGTGTGCGCTGCAGCACTCAGGGACTCTCACACCTGCACATGTGTATACACACACACACACACACACACACACAAGAAGAAGTGGCTAGCCAGAGTACTGCAGCGAGGGACCCATGTGACTCAGTGGTGCCTCTAAAATCCTACTGACTGCAGCCAGGGTAAGCAGGCTGTGGTCTGAGAAGGAAAGCTGTTGATGGTTGCACAGCATCTTGTTCACATGGACCAAGCCTTTGTATGGACCAGTTTGGTTAGATCCTTTGGTTGTAAACTATACCTGACTTGAGAGCTCCAAGTACCCTCCAAAAGAATGTTGTTTTGGGACTGGAGAGATGGCTCAGCAGTTAAGAGCACTGACTGATCTTCCAGAGGTCCTGAGTTCAATTCCCAGCAACCACATGTTGGCCCACAACCATCTGTAATGGGATCTGATGCCCTCTTCTGGTATGTCTGAAGACAGCTGTGGCATACTCACATACATAAAATAAATAAATAATTCTCGAAAAAAAAAAAGGAATTGTTGCCGGGCAGTGGTGGTGCACGCCTGTAATCTCAGCACTTGGGAGGCAGAGGCAGGTGGATTTCTGAGTTCAAGGCCAGCCTGGTCTACAGAGTGAGTTCCAGGACAGCCAGGGCTACACAGAGAAACCCTGTCTCAAAAAACCAAAAAAAAAAAAAAAAAAAAAAAGGAATTGTTTTCATTATCATTTTCTCTGAGCACACATCAAATAAAAGCCAGCAGGCTGAAAACATGACACTCTGTTTCCCCCGGGGGCCTCCATACGTGGTCTACAGCTGTGGAGATAGGACCGTGGTCTACAGCTGTGGAGATAGGACAGTGGGTCAGGGCTAGAGCACACACAGCCGACTTGGGCATCAGGGAGGTTCAGGTCCTATTTGTTGACTCCTCAGTGTGATTTATCCATTGTATCCCTATTTCTCTTTTAGCACAGCCTCTTCACTGCCAGCAAGATCTGTGATGCGTGATGCTGGAAAGACGAAGGTCTTTGTATCAGTAGTAAATATATTTGAAGAACACACAACTAAAACTGAAGAAACTGTATCTGAGTTGATCAACAAGACAGCTGAGAATGATCCGGATATAGACGGATATGTCGGTAAGTACTAAGTGATTTTACTTAGTTTACTTAAAGATCTAACTTTCAAGTCAGGAGATTGATTGCTGTCTCCAAGCCTTCCCCCAAAGCCTCTGTGTGTTTTCGCATGCATGTGCATGCATGCGTGCGTGCATTCATGTGTGTGTGTGTGTGTGTGTGTGTGTAAGTCAATCACTGCAGGTATTGTCCCCCAGGAGCCATCTACCTGAGTTCTGGTCATCTCCCTGGGGCTGGGATCCCCTGATGCTAATCAGGAGTCCCACACTGAGCCACCTCCCAGAAGTCTAGCTTTTTAAAACAGGGTCTCATCTCACTTAACTCTGATCTCACTGATTAGGTTAGGCTGGCTGGCCAGTGAACCCCAAGGTCCCTCTATCTCCACTTCTTCAGAGCTAGAGTTACAAGTGGGAACCACCACGCCTGCCTTTCTTTCTGTGGTTGCTTGAGATTGAACTCGGGGTTCTCATGCTTAGACAGCAGCACTTTATTGACTGAGCCATCCCCCCAACCCCCGAGTTTTGTTTTCGTATCATGTGTTATGTGTTAGGACCTAGAGCATAAATATGTTGAGACAAAGCTCTGCTATAGGGCCTACCGCTGCTCTCCACAGATGCTACCACTGCTCTCCACTGATGCTACCGCTGCTTTCCACTGATGTATTTCCTGGGCTCAAAATTTTGTCTAGAGTGGCAGTAGCCTCTGTGCCCTGGACCCTGTGTTGTTTTGGGCTAGGTAGGACTTGGCACACACAGAAGAAGTTGAGAGTCCCCATCAGCATGGGCACTGACCACGGGTAATCATCAGCTAAGAACAACTTATCCGTTTCTCAGGATAATCTTGGGGACACCCCAGCCCCAACTACAGTTTTCTCATTTCTCCATGCCTGAGTAATTGCTTCGCTTATAATCCCTCGTTTTCAGAGCTGAAACTAGTCAGTATCCACTCTGAAATGTGGTTTTTGGACCACCTCCCTGAACACGTCCCTCCATTCTGAAACCGGTCATGTGCAATTATGTAGATTAACCTAGTAAGCTGACATCCAGAGATAACCAAAGCAAACTGCCCCAGATGGAAGCCAATGCCTCAGCACCAGAGGAAGTCACCTTTTGCTGCTCTTCAAGTCTGGTCACAAAAATATATTCTCTTTCTCTAGATTTTGAATTGCAGGTGTGCTGGATAGTTTTATGTCAACTTGATCAGAGCTAGAGTCATTGTATGCATTTAAGATGTGCAATATGGACGGGTGGTGGTGGCACACGCCTTTAATCCCAGCACTTGGGAGGCAGAGGCAGGTGGATTTCTGAGTTCGAGGCCAGCCTGGTCTACAGAGTGAGTTCCAGGACAGCCAGGGCTACACAGAGAAACCCTGTCTTGAAAAACCAAAAAAAAAAAAAGCAGGCCAAGTAAGCCAGTAAACAACACTCCTCGGTGTCCTCTGCATCAGCTCCTGCCTCCAGGTTTCTGCTGTGCTTAAATTTCTGTCCTGACTTCCTTTGATGATGAGTTGTGACTTGGAAGTGTAAGCCAAATAAACCCTTTCCTCCTCAGCTTGCTCTTTGGTCATAATGTTTCATCACAGCAATAGAAACCCTGACTAAGACAGAAGTATTTTCAAGCCAAGTGGGTTAGTTACAGCTTGGGCTCTTTATTAGAGAGTATACCACTTTTCTAACTCCTTCTATCCTCTGCCCCAGGCCATTCTCAGACTCACCCTCTTATCTCCAGCACTTACAATCCACACCCAGACTAGCATTCTTCGAAGGCTGTTCTCTCATGGCAAGTTCCTGCTTAGCATCTTCCAGAGGACTCTCTAGCCTAGGAAGAAAAGCCAAGGGCTGGAGAGATGGTCAGCGGGTTAAGAACACTTGTTTAATTGTGAAAACCGAACTGGAGGTTGAATCTCATCAACCGTGTCAGGTGCCCAGCAAATGCCTTTAACTCCAGCTCCAGAGACTCTGACACCTTCTTCTGAACTCTGTGGGAACATGCACACATGGCATAACACACACATTCTCTCTCTCTCTCTCTCTCTCTCTCTCTCTCTCTCTCTCTCTCTCTCTCTAT